GGCATTCTGTCCATAGCTCACAGACTCTAATCTCACAGGCTAGATGGCTGTGGCGCAGATCAATGCTTTGCTTTGACTTTTCATCATGAGGGTCATGGGGTCCAGCCAGGCATAATATGTGGGACTCTGGCGCCAGGCCTGCCCCCGGAGCCTTTCCACGAGAGGCAGTGTTCTGTCCCTAGCTCACAGACTCTAATCTCACAGGCTAGATGGCTGTGGCGCAGATCACAGAAATGCTTTGACTTTTCATCATGAGGGTCATGGGGTCCAGCCAGGCATAATACGTGGGACTCTGGCGCCAGGCCTGCCCCCGGAGCCTTTCCACTCATGGAGAGGCAGTGCCATGGTCTGAGAGTGCACAGAAAAGAGCCAGACAGGCCCACGATCCAATCGCTGCTCTGCCACCTACTACATATGACCCATGGCATCATCACCTAACCTGTTGAAGCCTCTAGTTCCTCATCTCTGACCCAGATGATTCCACCTCAGGGTAGCTGTGAAGATTAACATGCCTTCATAATGTACAGTTTCTGGCAATTAGAAGGTGTTCCATAAATTGTTACTATTTACGTATTATAATCTCATGATAGACCAGCCTGGACAATACTTTCATCTTGCTTCAGCCTCAGGTTTTATTCTCTGGAAACATGATAATATGACCAGCAAGTCCTGCTTTCTTAAATTTCATGATAGAAATTGCTGAGGGTTCTTGCCCAGCTGCACTTTCAGCCCTGGGGTGGCAAGGATGCCAAGGATGCGCCCTGCAGGTGGAAGAGTGAGTGTGCAGCAGATGGGTGGGGTCAGCTGGAGGGATGTGGAAGTGTTTCTCACTTACTGGCAACCTGACCTTGGCAAATCTCTTCATGACTTTGAGCCTTGGCGTTTCCATCCATATAATGGGCTTACGTAATAACTACTTACATCAGAGGCTGTTGTGCAGACTAAATGGGATAATGCATTTAAAGCACTTAGCGTAGTGCCTGGCCCAGGGAAGCACTCACTGAGTGGAAGCTCTTAAGACATCTTCTATTCGCAAAGTTGTTATAAGGAAAGACTGCATGGGAAGGTGTTTTATAAGCTAAAGTCCATAGCACATTAGTTATCATTATTTTATCAGGGCTATGTGTTTGAGTGCACACATCTGTATGTTTGCCTGCTGATATGTATTTGCCTAGCATTTAGAGGATTTTTGACATGCACACATTATGCGCATGTTTATATAGATATGTGGATGTGCGAATATTTATATGTGCATACGCGTATGTATTGACCTAACAGATACCCCTGCCACCCTTTGATGCTTTAGGGGATCCTAGACCAGAAACCTTTAATTATGTGCTTTCAGGTGTTCTGGAACCCTTGCTTGATTTTGTTTATCTGCTTCCCAAGACCATATCCATTCTCCAAGGTGACTGATTTGCTGTGGAGAGAAGATAAATTTGTGATTGTTTAAAAAAAAATGGAAATTATCAACTGAGACCAGATAGGTTTATCCAAATACAGAGAAAAATAGTACAAGGATACGTATTAGATGATTATACACTGGGAAGTACTGGAGAGAGAAAACATGTGAAACAGAGCTGCTAAAAGTTGTAGCCAAAAAGATATGAGGGACCGATATACCTAAAGACAGAAATTATTTATCTATGAGGTTAGTACCAATGGCCCACTCAAATAGTGTTCAAGGGAGAGCGTTAGCTTTTAAAGTGCAGAGAGCGATAACAACCACAGCACTGTCAGCAGCCGTGCAGCTCACAAAGCGCTCTCATGCTCTTGGTTTTTTGACTTCTCTTGGAAGTCTGTGTCTTCCAGGTCCTTCCCTTGTGTCTTCCAAGTCTGCCTTCCAAGTCCTTCCTTCCAAGTACTTCTCATCACAGGGAACAGTACCTCAGCTCTCTAGCAATGAATGAGACATACCAGCAAAAATAAATAACAGTTATAAGACCCAGTGTTGTCAGGGATGTGGAGAAAAGGGCACATTTACAGATTTCTAGTTGCACTGTGTATCTGTTCCTTTTTTGGTAAAGAACAATTTGGCAAAATCATAATAAAAATATTCCAAGGGAATAATCCAAAAGGAAAACAAATTTTCCAAAAGGCAGTCCCAGCAGTACTGTGCATAATAGTGAAAGATTTGAAACAACATAGATGCCCAACCAGAGAGGGCTGGTAAAGCAAGCACTCTTGTATTTTACCGAATGAAAATAATGGTGAGTTAACAGAGCAGTTCACAAAATAACCTGTGCTTACTGATTATAACTATAGATAAACGTGTAGGTGCATGAAAAGACCTTGAGAGAATTTGGAGTGATGTAAACAGGGTTAATATCCATTAGGTTCTTTGTCATTGTTTTTAAAAGGTGAAAGATTTGTCTCCTTAGGGCACCCTCCAAAGAGGAGTAGGAAAATGTTTTGAGCAAGGAGGCAAGGACACAGCATCTTGAGCGGATTCCTTTGGAGGGACCCCACTCCACAGATGTGAACCTGGGGTGCTTGGTGTTTGGGAGCTTGATGACACTGAGTTTCCCTCCCACTGTGCATGTGTGCACGCATGCGCAAATGCCAGAAGGATGCTGTTATTCCTGGAGCAGGGTGAGCTGGGCCCAGAAAGACCACAGTGAAGAGGAATTTGCTTAATTACTCCTGCCCTGTCAGCCCCCTAGGGTTTCTTAATACCCAGTGAGATGCCAAAAATAAAAAGGACCGTGGGGCACAGACATGGGAGCTCTATTACCTCTTCTCCTCGGATTAAGCTCCAACTTACCTACTCTTCTGAGGTTTGCTTCCCTTTCCATCCCACCCTCCAAAGGACCAGTATGCAGGTCCACTTTCCTCTTCGCTGTTTACATCTCAGCATCTTTCATGCTCAGGGTTTGCTGAGGTTGGGGAAGGCAGGCGTGGAGTGAGTGTTGGTGTGGACACACCCTGGGCATTTGCTTGGAGTCTTCATCTTCCTATGGGGCACCTGGCTGGCCTTAACTGTGAGCCTGGCACTGGGCTAGGGAGCTAGGGGTATGCCTGCCCCCTCCAGGACCTCACAGCCCAGTGGGGAAGGGGGACAGAGAGGAGAATGACTTTCTTCAGTTTTCTGTATCTACACCAGGGAGCAGTCAGCTGCAAAAGAGAGCTGGGCGCAGGCTCACAGCTCAGACCCTTGAGCTGGAGGAGCTCAGTGCCCTCCCTCCTAAAGGCTTCAGCTGATGCAGCAGCTCTGCAGGAAATGGGCCCAGGGTTCCCAGATCTTCATTTTAGAAGCTTAAAATCCTAATTAATATGCGAAATGGATTTTAAGAAAACACGTGTTGAATCAATACTGTGCAGGCCAAATCCACTATGATAAATATGGTCTGTGGGTCTCCACTTAAGACTTCAGCTGGGGGTTGCAGGAGTGAGGAGGTGGCACCTGTGGGCTGGAGCAGGCACAGTTGGCTGGGTTGGGCTCAGCAGCGCTGGAGCCCAAAGCAGAAGCTCCCTGTGAGCCCAGCCTCTCCCCCTCCTCCTGGTCTCCACTCCACCTCTGGTTATTCCCCTCAGCACCACCAGGCCAGTAGATGGCGCCATGAACCCAGCATCTCACAGGGGTCGAACAAACCTGAGTCCGCAAGCTCTGACCCAGCCCACCCAGCAGCCTCACAGCCATGGCCATCCTCCTTGGGGACTTCCTGGATTTTTCTTTTCTCTTTGAGTTTTTATTAAGTTAAAAAGTCCCCTTTATGCCAGATTCTTTCTGTCTTCTAGTCCAGCGCTGCCACGTTTTAAATTTTCAAGTAGGCACATTAAAAAAGTAAAAAGACACAGGTGACATTAATATTAATAATGTTTTATTTAGGCCAATATATCCAAAATATTATCATTTCAATGTGTAATCAATATACAGAGTATTAGAGATATTATACCTTTTTTATTGTACTAAGTGTTTGAAATTCCATATGTGTGTTATACTCACAGCACATTTTAATTTATACTCATAGCCACATTTCAAGGGTTCAGTAGTCACATTTGGCCAGAGGCTATGGAATTGGGCTGGGTGGCTGTAGGCCCCGTGGGGCCTGAGTCCCGTCCCTTGAGGGTTGGCTCCCAGATTATAGCATGGAATTCTGTCCAAGCTGGATGTTGACTTGGAGTCTAGGGGTCTCAGGGACCCAACTTGCCACCCTCTGCAGGAGGTCTCATATTTAAAGAGGCATCAGCACTTTTCTGGAAATTCCTGAGCGTAGGAGGCCAGCTCACAGCCCCCTCCTCCCCTGGCCTGGGGTGCAGAAGAGCCTCCCCGAGGACCTAAGTAAAGCATCCCCCTCAATCTCATCGCCCTGGAGGTCTGCGTTTTGCAAATAACAGTGGATTTTCTTTACTGAGCAAAAATTCTTAATTTAATACAGTCATATTTACAAACCTGAAATTTGTCACAAAGCCATAAAGTATTTTTGAAACTTATTTGCCTCCAGGAGTCCTTTTGGCTCCTCGGGCTCGCCCTCAGGCTCTGGCATGTGGCTCTTCTCTGCTCCCCCACCTCCTGCTATAGGGGGTTCTTCGCTCTCTCTGTCACATTACACTCACTCCCTCCTCCACCTGTCGCTGCCCTCGCGGGAAGCAGCATTTCTGAAGCCAGTTAAATACACAATCCAAAGCCATTTATTTCCACTAAAATGGTTCATTTTGCTTTAAACTAGCCCTTGGACTAGACAGAGACTTATGTCTGGTTTGGACACAGTTTGAGATTAACGTCTCTTTCCATTTCTGGGCCTTGGTTTTCTCATCTGTGATATCAAAGGATTTGAACTTTGTCACCCTGAGGTCTCTTCCATCTCTAACTTCCCATCTCCCACTGTGCATGACCCCAGGGTTTTAAACTATTTCCTACACCCTCCCCCAAACAACACACACCCACACCCTGGTGGTTCCAGGTCACTCTTATAAAACAGTGTAAGGAGAGATATTGGGGGTGGGGCGGAAACAAAGGGAGAAGATGTAAAAAAGAACAGAGACGGACAGTAAGAATCAGAGCGAACAGGCAGCCAGAACCCAGGCCCTTCACAGTGGGCATACGCCCGCAGAAGCCCCTGTTGGAGGACATTTGACCACTCTTCAGCATCACAGAAAAGCTCTGACGGGCATGAGATGGGGCCAACACCCCCCTAACACCTCTTCTGTGTCCCTTTGTGAGCTGCTCAGAAACCTATTCGGAGGGCCCTGTTGGTGCAGGCAGGATCTTGCAGGGGCCACATCGGTGCTTCCATCTCCCCTACCCTCCAGGAGCCAGGAGCTGGGAGCCGGACTCTGGCCTGGATGCCTCTGTGAACTGGAAGTCAGGGTCAGGTGGGATGTGATTGGTTCAGGACCCAGGGTTTCCCAACAGAAAGGAGATAGCATTTGCCTGCTCCAGTAGAAGAAAAGCATAGGGCTCAGTTTCCCAGGATGGTTGAAGACATACCGCTTGTGACCCACTTTGTCTTTTTCCCCTTCCAGAGCCTCCAGCCTAAAGGGGCAGATCCTATGGCTGCAATGGAAAGCAGAGGCTGACCCATGTCCCTCTGGGCTGGGCTGGGCTTGGCTGGGCAGAGCAAGGCTAAGCTGGGGCAGAGGCAGAATGCTTCTGGGTTATTGTTCTCTGGGGAAAGGGGAATTGAAAAGAAAAAGCATCTCTGAGGAGGGCAGGGAGGGAGGCTGCGTGGCATAAACACACACACACACACACACACACACACACACACACACACACACACACACACGCCCTGACTTAGCCTAAGCCTCACTAGGGAGAGAAGCATCTTCTTTCTGTTCTTGGAGCTGCTTTCTGTTACTTCCCCGCCCATCTGTGCTGTCAGCAGCAACCAGCAAAGTTGGCCTCAAACTTGAACGCAACTGAAACCTCCAGCTTCCCGGAGCTCCTCGGGGCAGCAGGCAGGATCCAGCCTCTCAACTTGGCTGGCCTGGAGAAGCTGGCCCTTCTGGCTCACAGCTAGCCCTTGTTTCCCTGGTGACACTCTGCCCCTGATCTGTAGGCCCTCAGTCTGGGCTGAAGAATGGTGCGCTGAGGTCCCTCTGGAGCCCCTTGTCACTGCCTAGAGCTGGAGCAGCCCAAGGCCCAAACCGACATGGCCAACCCTGTGCAATCTCAGTTTTCCCCAGCACGGGAGCCAGGTACCGTCTCACCCCTGGACCTGCCGGAGATGGAGATGCTTCTTACCAAAGTGGAGGGCAAGGACGACAAGCCCCTGAAGCTGCCCAAGTCCCTTTCAGGGGCTCTGGATCTGGAGCAGAATGGCCATGGCCTCCCCTTCAAGGTAGTATCTGAGGGGCACCGGGAAGCCTCACTCCCTCGGTCGCCCTCTCAGGTCAGCTCGAGGCGGGCTTCCTCCGTTGCCACTGCCTCCTATGCCCAGGACCAGGAAGCCCCCAAAGACTACCTAATCCTGGCCATCGCCTCCTGCTTCTGCCCTGTCTGGCCTCTCAACCTCATTCCTCTCATCTTTTCCATCATGGTAAGTGCTACTCTTTGTTCTGGAACAGGGGCTGGGCCCAGGGGGTGGCAGGCATGTTCCCTGGCAGGCACCAGACATCCTGCCTAAGGTGTAGAGAAAAGAGAGCTGAGTGCTGGGGGCTTGGGGAGGGACTCCCTTCCTCAGGCCTACTACTCCCTCTTGGAGAGGGGTCCATGGGCCTGGAGAGCTTCTGTTTGCTGATCTCTTTCATCTCTGCTCCTTGGCGTCACAGCTTGACTTTGCAAGCAACTCTGATGAGGAGGGGGCCTTAGGGAGCCCCCTAGAGGTAAATTCTGCATTGCAGAAAGACAGCCAATTTGGAGGTCTTGGCTTTTGTGGGGTTTGGGGGGCTGTCCTGAGGAGTCATTCTTGAGCCGAGCTATGTATCAGCAGAGGCTGCAGCCGGCATGGTGTCCCAGGGCCTGTTCTCAAGAGGAGAGCCAGTTCCTCACAACTGTCCCCCCTGCCAGCCCTAGGCCACGTGGGTGTTAGAACCTTTGCCAGCTCTGGTTTCCAAGAGCCGGCAGTGGCTTCCCTGCCACGCAACGAGGGCTCTGGTTTCTGGCTCCCCCAAAGCTGCTCCTCGTGGGGACGGTTCTCACTGGGGCCCTCTCGGCCTTGGTGATTGCGCCACGGGTGAAAAATGTGTCAGAGGGCATGGCTGCCCTTGCCAAGGAGGGCATGTAGGCTAGTCTTTGTTTCTCACACACTTGTGCTTCAGGGTGTTGAGTAAATTGTCTTATAGTGTTCCCAAAGCAAGCTTTTTGGATAGAGATATTTACAGAGGAGGCACAGACAATGTCAACAGATGTTGGCAAGTGACTTTTGAAGTCTAGGAAGAAGAGAGGGAAGGAGACTGGGCAGGCAGTGACTTTCAGAATGAGGTTAGGAGCAGGGAGAAGAAAACTGTCAGCCAGTCGGGGCCAGAGGACTGGGTGGGGAGATAGTGCCTGCTTCGCTCTGGAGTGACTCCACTGCTGAGTCATCTATCACTGAGCTTCCTGGAGCTGTGGTCACTCCTGCTGCCCCAGGCCTGTCCTCTGAGAAAGCCCCTATTTCCTCAGACATCTCCGTCCACTTTACTGATGCCCAGTCTGTAGCTGGGGAAGCCCTACCAGGATGTCAGGGGACACTGGCAACGTTCCTGAGTCCAAGGGACTTGGTGTGGGCACAAGAGTCAGGGCTGGGCAGGGCCGAGGTTGGGGCCTTTGAGGAACTTCCTGTGCTACCTGCTGCACTTGGGGGCTGTTGGGGGCGGGCCAGGCCCCAGGGGTGCAGCCAGTGACTCTAGGCAGGCCCAACTTCTTGGTTACAGGGAGAAGCCCCAGGAGGAAAGACAGACTTTGGGGAAGAAAACCACATAAGGGCCCAGGAGTAAACAGTTGCTAGATTCTGTCTCCTGGTGGTGGTGGCAGAGTGCAGACTGGGCAGAAGCTGCTTGTCAAAGGAAACCTGGGCCCAAGACTGTGAGATCACTGAATGTACCCCCCGTGCATTTTTACATCCCTTTCAGGTTGTTAAGTCTGGTCCGATGGTCACTGGGCCTGGGCCAGGGAATAGGGTGCTAATCCAGACGCCATCCCCAATTCCCAGGAGGCTCTAGTCCAGTGGGGAGAAACTTGTAAACAGATCCTTAAAACACATTGCAACAAGTATCCATGCTAGACAAAACCACAAGGAATTGTGTGGCCTCGGGCAAGTCACCTAAACTTCTCTTTCCCCTATTTTCTTGTCAAATGGCCAATGACACCCAGTTTTCTGCAAAATGGGTGTCACCATAACACCTACATTATAGAGCCATGTGAAGGTGAAATGAGACGAGCCATATAAAGCGCTTAAGAACGACACCCAGCACATAGCAAGTGTGATTATACGGTGACAGTAATTCTGTGGCAGCTGAGTGTCTCCCTGGTGAGGGATGGCAGCCATCACAAGTTTGTTGTGTGTTTTTTTTTTTTTAAAGAACGTTGAGATATAGTTCACATATCATACAATTCACCTATCTAAAGTGCATGATTCAATGATTTTTAGTATATTCACGGGTAAGTGCAATCATAACCACATTCAATTTTAGAACATTTTCCTCACCTCCAAAAGAAACTCCATTCCTATTTTCTATCACCTCCCGCTACCTCTCCCCTGATCCCCGCCAGCCCTAAGCAACCACTAATTTTTCTGTCTCTATGGAGTTGCCTCTTCTGGACATTTCATATAAATGAAATCGTGCAATATGTGCTCCTTTGTTACTGGCTTATTTCACTTGGCATCGTGTTTTCAAGCCTCACCCATGCTGTGGCATATACATTGTGGGGTTTGGAGCCACAGAGAGGTGTAGTCAGATTTCCATTTTGGTGGATTAATCTTGTACAGGGTGAGAGAAGGGACCAAAAGGTCCCCTCTGAGCCTGGAATCGGGGAGAGGGGATGTTTGCAGGAGTACAGACGAGAGATGAAGAGGCCATAGCAAAAGGCGGAGAGGGTTTCTGGAAACCTTCTAAAAGCTGGTAACAGACCATTCATTCATTCAGCTGCCCATTCACTTGAATGGCAAGTTACTTGTTGGGTAGTGGTAGAAGATGATAGACTCCCCACCCCCACGAATGAATGTGCCTTTTCATGAACCAGGCACCATGCTAGGCCTTTGGGAAGTAGACGGATAAGATGTGGTCCGTTTGGCCTGAGAAGGATGAGAGTGTGGTGGTGGAGGGAGGCGAGTGGGAACTTCCTCTAGGAATTTAAGTTTTAGTGGCTCTGAGGAGCTCCTAAAAAATGTTTAAGCAGAGGTGTGACGTGGTCAGTTCATATTTTAAAACCAACAGCCTACTGCATTGTGGGAAAGGAACTAGAGCAGGCAGGGCTGGGGGCAAAGAGACCCTGTAGGAGGCTCTTGAGATAGTCCAGACAGGATGTGAAGGCCTGAACTAAGCAGTGAGCTTAGAAAGGAGGGCGCTGATGAGGGACTTGTTCAGGGGGTAGGCGCAGCACTTGTTGTAGACTCCTGGCTATCCAACTCAAAAAGAATGGCGCTTTCTTAGAAACCTCTGGGGACCACAGCATTTAAGGGGTGGGCAGAGGGAAGTGGACAGAAAAGGGTTTGAAAAGAAGATTCTAGGAGGTGGGAGGAAAACTGGAAAAGAAGGAGAGACCCCCAGGGAGGATCGAGTTCGAAGGAAGGCGTGGTCAAATGCAGCAGAGAGATTAGGTTGAATAAGAATGGGAGTGTCCACTGGCCATTTACAGACCCTTGGTGACCCTGGTGATGGCGAGGCTAAGGCAAAAAGGAAAGAGGTGATTGATGAGATGAAGTCCCTGAAGAATGGAGAAATGACATGCAGAAGTATGACCCCCTTCCCAGGAGCCTGGAGGAGAAGCCAAGAGGACAGAGCAGTTAGAATTACTCAGAGGAAAGGGATTTGAGTCATGCTGTATTATAGGCTCCATGCCACCAGGGATGCGGAAGGCGAGGTCATTTGCTGAGAAATAAGGGCCTGGTGGCAGAGGGGAGGAGAGGCAACTGGGGACAGACAAGTCAATGGCCCAAGGGCTCTGCTGAGGCTGGAGACCATAGATTTGAGTTATTTTCAGCCTGCATGGTACTGTGGTTCTTCTCTAGCTGTAAGTACAGAGTCACAGATGTGACACTGGGCCCATCCAAAGCTGGGGGATGGCAGAGTAACTATGAGGGCAGGACCAGATGGCACAGAAGTCGATGGCCGGGGTGGCTGAGATGATGCATCGAAGGATCAGTCTGGATTGGGAGGGAGTGAGGCTGGAAAGACGGAAATAGACTTGGAGGAGAGGGAGGGGTCACAGGTTGGGGCTCAGAGAAGTTGAATGGCGGGTGCTGTGAGAGGGAGGGGGCAAGAGAAAGATTGCGAGGTTAAGATTTCAGAGGGGGAGCCAGGGCAAGAGTGAAAAATAGTTGTGGAAATAAATTTCTCAAGGGAACTGTTAGGAGCCAGGAAGAAGGGACTGGAGAGAGCCCAGTGATGAGGGCTGTCACTAACACTCACTGTGTGCCTGCTAACTGTCAGGCGCAGGTCCAAACCCTTTCTTTACATATACCATCTCATTTAATCCGGACTATAACCCTATGAAGTCTAGGTATTGTTATTATTCTTGATTTATGGATGAGAAAACTGAAGCACAGAGATGTGAAATAACCTGCTAGCAATTGGGAGCCTGGGACGGATGCCTGGAGCCCGAGCTCATGTTCCTGTCCATTACACTAGCCTGCCTCCTGGGAGTCAGGGGGAGCCCAGGTGAGGAGCATTATTGGGTGTACTCAACATAGTCCTCCCTCTTCTGGGAGGCAGTCTAGTTCCTAAGACACATCCATTCCTCAGGGAGGGAAGGGGTCAGTTATTCATCTAGGGCTGAAACACTCGGTCCCTCCCAAATGGAAGCAAGGGTGAAGGAGGGACAGAAAGTGCGGAAAGAGAGTATATCTGTTGTGCTGATATCTCCAGGTCCTCAGGTCAGACTTCAGAACTCCTTGTCTGAAGCGTCCCACAATGGTTACCAGGTGAAGGGTCAAGCCCTTGACCTCAGGGTGGATGGAGGCCCACAGCCCTGACAGCCTCTCTAGAGCTTACTGTTTGCAAAGCCTGCTCTAGTATGAGGCAGACAAACTGGCTAATTGTTCCCACTTAACAGTTGAGATGACTGAGACGTGCAGAAGAGTACCTTGCCCACAGTCACATAACTGGTAAAAGGCACATTAGCTGGATGCTGAATCCAGTGTTCTCTCCATGGCCCCACCCCGCATCTACCTCTGGGGACGAGGATGACATGTCCCTCTCAGGAAAGCCAAACTTTTCAGGTATTTGTGCAGGGAAGGAAGAATTCTACTTCCTTCTTTCTTTTTCTCCCACCCTCCCACTCTTCCCACCCCCACCTAACTCCATCATTGGAAGACTAATGGACCAGCAGCATCCTTCCGACTTTGGCTTTGACAGGGGCCCACTGTGACCAGGGCTGGTGGATCAGGGACTCTACCTG